CAACATCTGGTGAAAATTTCATGTCATTAGCACCTCTAGTAATATATTTACTGAGAAAAATGGTGACGTGTTCAATACTTGTTTTACCCGCTGTATGTCCTGGTGTGTGAAGAAGGGTGACTCCTTTATACTTTTCTACTAACTACTGAGTAGTGTTAATGCAGCATTACAGAGAATTAAATTTACACTCTCAATTTGATGAAGTATTGACACCTTGTGGTGTCTATTAACCTTACAAACACCACAATTTCCTTTGTTAATAATAATAATACACTGGTGATGCTTTTAACACTTTATTTTAACACAGTCAAAATGTTAATATGACACCCAGTATTGTTGAATATTTAACACTGGCTGGTGTTAACTTTAACACTATATTTTAACACTAACAATTTTTTAAGTTAATGTGACACCAAGAATTGTTGAATATTAAACACTGAATGATGTTAAATTAACAAAAAATTAGCATTAAAATTTAACACTTTCACAAATGTTATTTTAACACCAGCGGGTGTGGACACATATAGACACTTTGCTGGTGTTAAATTAACACTGGCATTTTCGTTGTGTAGCATATATGACCCCGGCACATTCCAGTGCATCATACCTCACCAGAAAAGATTGATTGTTTTGGGTGGGGGTCTGGAGTGGGTGGAGGGTGCTTATTGGTGGACCTGATGAATAGCCCTTTATCAGAGCTAAACAACAACAACAACAACAAAAATCTGAAGCTCCTATGTTGAATAGTTTTTGAGTTATAAGCATTTTTGTATGTCCAGATACCCCCTTTTTAGATTGAGCCCCCTCCTCAAATATGGGGTCTATTGTAAAATTATTAGCTGGTACAGTTTAAGTCAAACACATTTACAATCCTGACAAATTTCATGTTGATCGGTGCAGCTGTTTCCGTGCTATGGTTGACCAAAAATCACTGAAAAAATATAAAGAAAATAAACAGTATGAAAACACTTTGACCTCCGTCATGTGTGCGGGGGTCATAATAAATCACCTGTCTGTAACAATCAGAGTTTACTGGATTGTTACATTTTCTGGTTTCCTGCAGCTCTTCAACCATCGATTTTGTCTGCCCTTTCACATTAATGTACCTAAAACACAACACCTTCTGTTTTAGTGTTCTCAGCAAGATGAAGGCTGGGAAATCACAAATTAACAACCATGTACTGACTTTATATAAGCTGCAAACGCTCAGTTATATTCAGTTATCTTCACTCAGTGTTTCATTGCAGTCATAAATGTCAGGTTATAAAATATATTGTGTCGCAATAAATGAAAGTTCCCAAAGTTAAAACGGTTTGTTGCACATTTATATAAATACTTAGGGTGTAAATAGACTTTGATGCAGTTTGCATTCAGATTGTGATTTTTGCAAGTGGACTACAATTTATAAACAAAGCCACACAGCCTGTCATTGCTCCCATTGGACAGAAATGACGGGGGCGGGAAAGAGCGCAGACCTGGAAATAAAGATGATTTTAATATAACTGACTATTTAAAAAAAGCAGCTYATTCAGTTTTTGGTTTCATGATGATTTACTTATAATTTTGGGACAGCGTTTTCAAATGTGTGCTGTAACTTAAAGGAGACAAGATGCTTCACGTTCCCCGACCCACAACGGCTCATTGTTAGCATAGTGTTAGCGTTAGCATCACTGAGGGGCTAATATTGCTTTGCTACGGTGGCTCGTGAAGTCCAAAAAGTCACATTTCCTGTAGTTGGTCTGGTTATAGACCAGTCTGTATTCACACCAGAAGTGAACTGCACCAGAGTTCATTTGGAAGCGGACCCAGACCACCTCAAAAATGGGTCTCGATCCGGTTGTTTGATCCGCACCAGGGTTTGCGTGACCTGCATAAAAAGTCCGGACCAATGGGGGGAAACGAACTCTGGTAAAACTACATATCAAACCAGATTTATGTTTTGTCTTATTATTCTGCTTTGTGTGTGCGTCTTCCCAGGCTGGCCGTCTTTCTTCTCCACCCCATCCTCCGACGTAGACCCGCCCTCCGTCACCCTGGTGTCGGAGAAGGACAAGGACAATGCCTGGCTGTACACGCTGGACCCCATCCTCCTCACCATCATCGTGATGAGCTCGCTGGGCGTCCTGCTGGGGGCCGTGTGCGCCGGCCTGCTCCTCTACTGCACGTGCTCGTACAGCGGGCTGTCGTCGCGCTCCTCCACCACGCTGGAGAACTACAACTTCGAGCTGTACGACGGGATCAAGCACAAGGTGAAGATCAACCAGCAGAGGTGCTGCTCGGAGGCGTGAGGGAGGATGGGAGACGTAACGAAAAGGATTTTTCGTTTTATGTTTGGACATCGTGAAAAAGAAGCACCATCGCCCCCATCGCCACCTAAACCCCTCCCTTTGCTCTGATGTCTAATGGGGTAAGATCCAACCTCTCCCACCATTCTTATGTGCCAGGGGGAACTTGTGATCTTGATCTCCCCTACACGCTTTGAGGCCTAAACCGAGGGAGCATCACGCCCCCCCCGTCTCTTCTCTACAGCCCCGTTTCTCCTCTGCCTGCAGGAGAAAATCTGCTCGATTCTAAAAGCCTGTGAATGAATGAAGGAATGAATAAAATATTATAAACGACTGAACAGAATCAAACCCACCAGCCACTGAAATGAGGCTGCATCACTCCTGACAATCTGGACGTTTCGACCACGAATGACAGCAGAGGGATGTTCTCTGGCGTGGAGGGTCTGGATAAAGACAGAACTTTAGCTGATATTTTTCAGCCTCTGATTGAAGTCGTCTCCACCAGTGGTCCATATCTGTGGGTACTTCTGACTCAGATCAACACATATCAAAGTGAATGCCTATTCCTCCAAATAGCTTAAAAAGAAACCGAACCACACAACTCAAATGAATCTAGATTTCTAAAAAGGTGGAAAAGCTAAAGAAAACGAGGACGTTTTATTTCCCCCTTTTTTTTTGTTTGTTTTCGGGGAGTTTTAGCTTTGAGTTCTGTGAGTTTTAAACGTCCATTAGCCTGCCATGTGGCGCGCGCTAGCTCCTTTGTCCGCCTTCAGTCTGCGCTTTGTGAAACCAGTGGCATAGAAGAGTAACGGTGACCGTTTTTGTTCTGTTTTAGACTTGTGTCCGTTTGGATAAAAAGGTAAAGAAAAGCCAGCTTTAGTTCGTAGCAGCTCCGTAGAGCTCGCACGCCGTTTCTTTTTGAAACTTTTCTTTTAGACTTTCATTGGACTSCATGGTCTTAATTGTTACTTTAGTCCTTTTTTTCTATTTTACATTTCCCATTACAGATCTTACAAACCTTTTGAAAACAGTAGGGGGAAAGTATAAGTAATATAAAAGACAGAAAATCAGAAGTTTATCAAAATCTAACATGCTGTTATGGAGTTGTGCTTTAGACTTAATATTCTAGAGGTTATTTTTTTGTTTGTTTTTTTGTTTTCGGTATATAACTATATTTTTTTTGCTTTTCAAACTGTATGATGCCCAAATGATGAGCAGACACTGTGTAAACAAAAAGTCAGTGATTATTTTATTGCAACCTATGGATTGCCAAAGAGTTCTGTGCTCACAAGTGTTAAAAGAGGCGGGGTGGATTTAGAGCGGTGGGCGAACTCGCCGTTTGCCCGTCGCCCTTAATCCCGAGGAGAATAAAGCCTGTTTGAGAGAAAAGAATAGAGTGAGTGAAGGAGGGAAAGAATCATGCCGTTGACTTTTTTTTTTTTTTTTTTTTGGACACACAATCGAGCCTTAAGCAAACTACAGTAAACGCTGTATCGGAGGACAGCCATTAAGGAGGGCCAGTGCTGCTGGAGAGACTGACGATCAGAACGAGACACACACACCTACACACTCCTGTTTGTGGGGGGGGGGTCATCACAGACTTAACGCCCCCTCAGCCCCCCCATTAACTGAGGCCGTACCCTAAATGTGAGAGCAACCAGTTTTAACCATTCCTGTTCACTCTATACCTGAGAGATACATCTAAATACTCAGAGGAAAAAAAATGAAGGTTAGGTTTACTTGCAGAATGAAAGCAAAATAAAAATCATCTAAAACACTTTTTGATCGGCTCAGCTAAGAAAAATGTTTTATACACTGCAAAAAATGTCCACCTAACCACGTTTTAAAACCTTATATCAGCCAAAAAGTCTTTTTGATCTTGTTTTGAGACTGATTTACTAAACAAGAACTGATTGTGTAAGAATAATAATCTTGTTTTCAGAATGTGTAAGAT